AGTCAGAGGACAAGGCTGAGATGGACCGGTTCTGCGACGCCCTGCTTGGTATCAGACAGGAGATCGCGGACATTGAAAAGGGAAGGATGGACTCTCGCATCAACCCGCTCAAAGTATGCTACTATTGTCAGTTTGTATGAGGTGAAAATATGCATTACAGCAGCTATGACATTGGTCCTGACATCTAGTCCTCTCCTTGTGTGCTTGTTTGCAGATGGCTCCTCACTCTCTGGCCTGCATCTCATCCTCCAACTGGGACAGACCTTACTCCAGGGAGCACGCTGCTTTCCCCTTGGTGAGTGTCCTCCCTCTTACTTAATTACACGCTCCCAGTCAAGACTTGGTGCTTAAGGTGAGAGATGAATTGTCTGTATCGCTCTCTAGTGGTGAGAAGTAAGAATTACAATACTGGAATGTTTTATTCCCACAAAACCTGTGCAGAGCAGGAGAAAGTATTAAAAACAAACAAAAAAAATGTTCAGTTACATCTACACTCTGTTTGGATTCTAGTGTTAATACACTTAAATTATCTTTCCATCTTAAAGGTTAAGGTCTTATTCTATATTATTTTGTTATTTGTTGTCAACAAATCCCATGGAACACCATAAGCCCATTCATTGCTAATGAAGAATTAAATGTTCAAAAATGTTTTAATGCCTGCCAAAACGGGTTTCACAACTGGTTTGCAAATACAAAACACTATTAACAAACAAATGCACCCATCAAACAATTCCCCAACATATTTCTAATGCATCATGCTTCAGAAACAAATACAGCAAAAAAAAAAACAAAGACCAAAAAAAAACCTCCATGTCAAACAAAATGAGCGGCCGACAGGTGAGTTTGTGGTTGTTGCTGGAGAAAAATCTAATGTAAACTAAACTCCACAAGTTACTGTTTCATGGGTAGGATGATGCCACCTGCTTTTGTGGAGGGTGAAAAACATTTTGTGAGAAAATCCTCACAGCGGAAAAGTTGTTGTTAACAATTGTTGTTGTTTTTTATACTATATTCTAAAGAATGATGTATTAGAAATATGTTGTGTACATTTTGTATTTGCAAAACAAAATGCATTAGTTTGTTCATGGCATTTTGTATTTGCAAACCACACGGTGTGTCTGTGTTAGCAAATCATAAGGCATTTGTAAAACATGTTTTGGCAGGAAATTAACTCCATGAACGGTTCACAGGCACTGGTTTTTAGCAAACATGACTCAAACAGAGGTGAATAGAGGAAAGCATATCAGACATTTTCTACACAGACAATACTTGTTAATAAGTTCAGTTAAGTGTTGGTTTTGGTCCTCTTGTGGGATTTGTTGACGCTAAGAAAAAATAATCCGAGTGGTACCACTCACACGCTCTGATTAGCCATTCACAAGCACAGCACCAAACTTGAAATGCTTGACAGTTGACTACTAGGAGTTCACTTTGTGTTTAATTTTGAAAGCCAATAATCCAAAAACATTTAAGTTTTAGAGAGATACTTATAGTACCTTGTGAGTTGATAATATAATACTCAAGATCAATAAAGCTGTATTTGTGATCTTTTTGTTTTCTAAAAAAAAAAGCAATTAGTAATTATCTTGGTCACAATTCTTTAGAATAAAAAATAATGTAAAGGATCCGTATCAAGATTGTTTGTTTAAAAAAGAGAATGCATGTATAATATTTCTTTTTAACATCGATATCTATATCTGCCTAAAACAAATCCAGTATCTGTCCAACTATAATTCAGATATCTTGTTTTGTCCGACAGTCTAAATTCACTTTACTATCATGTGACAAAGAAAAGCCACAAACCCTCACATTTGAGATGTTTGAACCAGGGAATGTTTGGTAAAATTACTTTAATTACTTAATCGTTTTTTTGATCGGACCATCAAACACCACAGTCCTTGATTTTGTCACTACTTGAGAAACCTTATTGTCCCCCCGTTTTAATGTCGTGTAGTTAATCACTTTGTGATGTCTGCACAGCGTCACAAGTAAATTAAATTTACTCTGTTCTCATGTTTATCCTCCCCTCTCACGTTCCAGCCCTTCATAAGGCCCGAGACCAAATTCTGGCCGAGCATCTCCAGGATTGATGACATCTATGGCGACCAGCACTTCGTGTGCACCTGCCCGCCCATGGAGGCCTACGAGTCTCCATACGAAGAGAAGAGAGCTTCTTCATAGATGGCCCCTGGGGTCCAGTCCTAGTGTCCTGCCCAAGCTCTAAAACTTCAGACTTGACGCCTGTTTGGCTCAGTGAAACTGGGCTCCAAACACTACTTCAATCAATCAAATCAGATTTGCTAGGGCCATGTAACGCTCCTATTTCAGATGTAGTGTAATAAAATTCAGTGAATTTTGCTCATGCATGCATGCATGCATATATATATATATATATATATATATATATATATGCATTTATTATAGTATGTTTCATCAACTTAGATACAAACTAATTAATACTGTCAGGCTCTTCATGGGACAAAAGGCGGACTTTTCTGCTATTTTTTTTTTTTCCTTCCAGCTAGTTAATTATTTCCCTATTTTTAATATTAGGCCCTATGAATTGTGACTAATTTTCTTAAGCAGAACCTGCAACAGTGCAAAAAGTGTATTAGGTTGGCCAATTTCACAGTGGAACAGCCCTGAGCCCTAGCTGAGCCATTATGAATGGGTGTCAAGTCTGTGAGGTGGCCACTGGGACTGGGCTTTGTCCAATCGCACCTTCTTTTATTTTTTGCAGGGGTCTTGGGGTTTTCCCCCTACTCGAACTCTTCCAATGGACCAAAGGTGCAACCTTTGCTTTTCCAGGTCGCAAAATAAGTGCACCCTTCGACACCAAGGCCGCTCTGTAACACACCCCTGAAATGCTGTACTTAAGTTGAGTACAATTAATTTCTAGACTTCCAACATCTATATTAAAAAAAAAAAAATGCCCTTGGTGCCTCAATTTCTGTTGTGTAAAATAGCTGCCTCAACTCCCCCCCCCCCCCCCCAAATACCTGACAGAACAGGAGGTAGTTTAGGCTTGTTAATGAGTTTGTTGTATGAAAATGTTTAAATGTGTTGACACTTGTTGACTAACTAGATAATCTTACTGTTAATTATTTTCTAAAACTATGTAGAAAAATGTCTGTAATAAACATGTCTTTAAGTGTGTATACATTTTGTATTAAGACTGTTTAAGTTCTCCTTTGAGGAAACACTGCCACCCAATGGTGACAGGGGAGGGAGGGAGGGGGACACTTCAATTTCACACAATCCTGACTTCATTCTGACAATGTGCAGATGTGTGAAAAGCTCTTAACAAAATGTGAACTTTTTTCCTGATTCCATTGTCTTGATTAGGTATTGTATCCCAAATGTAACTGGAAATTTTGGATGAATTTCCTTTATTACATCTTTAATGGTTATTGGTTAAATTGGCAGAAAATTAATCAACTATTTTTACAATTCATTTTTCCAAGAGAAAATGCCAAACATTCAGTCTCCACTTTTAGATGGGAGGGTTTACAGCATCTATTTGTTGAATATAATGAACTGAATATTTCGGCTTTGGACTGTTTGTTAAAGAAAACGTCAACCTTGGGCTTTAGTAAATAGCAATTCTTTTCCACTATACATTTTAGACTGAACAATTGAGGAAAGACGTTGGTTGCATCCCATTAATGGCATGTAGTAGGACTGCAACTAGTAATTAGCAATCTTCATCATTCTCAAAGTCCAAGTTAACATTTAAATCTCATGGTTTTGTCTGACGGCAGTCTAAAACACAATTTTTACATTTGAGAAGCTGGAACCAGTGTATCCTTGGTGGGTTTTTTCTAAAAAAACTCATAGCTGCAGAATAATTTAAGAAGTGTTCAGCCATGGTAAAAGGCTGAAACTGACTTAATAATTAGGTTACATAATACTGGTAACTCCTGAGCAATCTATACAGCGCATACTGCAGATTCTCAAGGCCCAGTTTTTCTGATCAGATAAAATCAAATCTTAAAATCTTTCAAAATTTTATTCAAAAGAAAAAGGGTTCTGAAATCTGATCAGATCCCCTAATCCAATCCTAGTTTTGATCTGGATCAAATCTTCAGTTTGTGTTAAACTTTAATCAAAGTCAGGATTATCTTGATCCCAACAGAAGGGTGGATTCAGGGTGGATTTTAGGAACAAAGAGTCAAAGCTTTAAAAAATGTTCCAAATAAGACAACATTATCTAGGAGCCTACAGAGGTAAAGTAGACATTACATATCTACCCACTACCTCAAGTACAGTAAACACAAAAATCCAAATCCCTCAAACAGCGGTTTAACAAAAATAAATGTAATTTCAACTGTCACTTAATACTGTACATTACAAAAGGCAGGTAGTTTATAACAACTGCATCCCTTATTGCAGGTCCAGTCAGTCCCTCATTTGGAGCTCGCCTCTTAAAAGCTGCTGTCTGACCTCTGATCTTTATTTTAACTATTGGACACATGCGCAAAATATCCAAAGGAAATGGAAGGAGATGTTTGCGTCTTATTGTGCGTTTTCTGTCTCTTCAAATAAAAAAAGTGACCCCATGCTGGCTGTTCCACCTATTGGTCTTTATATCATTAACAGCCAACATTGTGATATGTAGTCCTATTTAGAGCACTGGAAATCCGGATTTGGTAATCCTGAAAAGTCTGTATCTGGATCAGGATGATCAAATCCAATATAGTTTTAAACAAAACAAACCACAACCCAAAAACCCCCAGCACAAACGTAAAATGGATTACGTGATTCTGGATAGCAAAACATGGGATTTCCAAATCCAGCTCATTCTAAACCAGATTAAACTTTTTGAACAACTGGGCCCAGACGTCACTACACATATCCTCATCCTGGTAAGTGGTAACAGATTCATGTGGTGGTGAGCAGCTGGGAGTTTGAGCAGAGCTGTTTAGGATCTGCCTTTAGCTTTGGGAAAGTTAAAAGGCAGATAAGAAACAAAGATGATGGGACAAGTCAGACATGAGTCATGCATTTAAATCCCATGAACAGTGATTTAATTATTATTTTAGCAATTTCATAGCTACAAGAAGTGGTGACATGAAAAAGAATGTGCAGAAGTAACTTGAAGACATTAATTCTACTTTGGTAGAATGTTAAAATTTCTTGATGACACCTGCTGTAAAATGTGATTTTTAAGTAAGAAAAGGTGCAAATAACTTTTTACAGTACAAAAAAAGGGTTTCAAGTTATATTTCAAAAGATAAGTCATAGTTTAAAGTAGTTAAGTTACCAAACCTCTTTTCTTTTTAAGACTTCATCTTTAGTCTCTATTGCACTGGAAGAACTGATTTGATTAGACAAGATGAACAGCCTATTTAAGTAAATAAAAAAGCAGCTTCAACATGACTGACAACCAAATACGCCCTTTCAGAACCAGACGTACCTCTAACATACCAGTAACATAGAAAGCCAACACTGAAGTTACCACACAGAAGTTGGGTTTACAGCCCTCATAATATATACACGGGACTCCAACAGCTTCAAAGAAACCAACAAAATATTTCTGTTTTCTAAAATACATTGATATTCCTGAATGATTCTATAACAAGTATTACAGGATATATTAAATTACATCATCTTCGCCATCGAACTCCATGGTTGAGCCAGGAACAAACAGGCTGGGTGCTAAGAGGCACAGAGAGAGTAGGGAAGTCCGACACTATTGAGAAGGACTAAAACATTGTTACTAGAACCACTAAAGATCCGTCTGCAACATGACAACATGCTGAACACAGCTATGGTCTGTGTGCGAGCTGCATTCTTTTCGGGTTCAGACAGTTTGTGTTCTCAGAGGCCCTGGTCCTCCGGGGCAATAAAGAAAGTTTGCATTCTGCAGACTGTCAGACGCTTGCAACTGCAACCTAAATTGTTCTGATCATTAAAGTTTACTGAAAAAAAAAATAAAAAAATTGTATGTTGTAAACTGGACAGGATCCTATTTCCATTGGTTGTCAGAAAGACACTCCATTTGAAAAGCAGAATAACAGTTTAAAAAAAGCAAAACACTGTAAACAGAGCTTAACAGCCAATGAATCATGCAAGAGGCATTTTTTTAAAAACATAAAAAATGTCTTCGCAAACAACGAAAATGTCTTAGTCCAAAATGTAAAATATTTTACTGTTTTTGTTAAAACCTTTTCTATTGGTTGTCAATTAAAACATTTAAAGTACTGGTGTCCTAACACCTTCTGACAAAGTTGTCACCTTCTTTCACTCCCAGGCAAAAAAAAAAAAAAAACAACTAAAAACTGTGCTGCTCCCATTTATCAGCCTCTCCAAGTCCCATGGCATGAGATCAAACACTCAACAAGCCCAACAATAAGTCTTTTTGGCACCTCATGCTCATTCTGATAAAAATCCTTGTGCAACAGATTCATACTCGACTTTTCCTGATTCCCAGTGCTCCCGGATGGTCACCCGATTACCTTCAGCCTGCACATCTTCTCTCCTCTGAACAAGACGGTCGACCTGGATGACAAACACTGCTGATGAAATGAGGCAGAGGCCTGAGAGGTAGAAGGCAGAGCTGTAGTCATTTGTGTTGTCCACCAGCCAGCCTGCACGAGAAACGCAAAACAAGAAACAGAGGATCACAGCGTGCCAGGGATGAAGTCTAAAAAGGAACAAGACGCATCTATTCCTTCAGGTGTGTGTAGTGAGAAGTGACAAGTTTGTGCCATGTCAGTGTTACTTGAACGTGTACGAACATACTACATCCTATGTTCCTTCTTAAATGTGTTCAATTGTTTATAACGGTTTTGCATCCATTTGGTCATAAACCAAAATACTGGACAGAAATGTAGTGAACATTTGACTGGATGATGATGCTAGATGAGATGTTAACGGATCACCGAAGCACTTAAAATTCATCTTTATGAATGTTTACCATTTAATGACAGCCCATCCAACAGTTGCTGGGACATTTCGCTCAAAACCACAAAAATGTCAACCACAGTGGCGCTAGACAAAAAGTCAGGGGATCATCAAAGTCACTAAGCTTCATCCTCTGGTGACCACGAATATCTGTACAAAATTCTGGACCAAGTGGTGGACTGACAGATCATAGTTTCACACAGCTCGCATTGCAAACTACATGCAGGTGACAAAACTAAAACTGTTTTGTCCCCTCAGCAGTTTGATTAAGTGGTGGTTTCAGTTAACAGCAGCACTGTGTTTTGTTCATCTACGTCTGGCTCCGACAGTGTCAAGTGACATTCGGCACATAATTTATGTCTGCTAATGCAAACGCACCTGGAGCTAAAGACACCTCAACTATGCACACTGGCAAGTCTGTCTTGCTTGTCAAAATTGCCAATGTTCAGGTGTAGTTCAGTGGCCACCGAGGAGCTGCTTTCATCTCTCCGCACAAACTAAAATGTGTCTGTTGCAATGAGTATTGAAAAGTGTACAAGAAAGTTTTGAAATTTGACATTAAGTACCAAATCAGATGTTCGCTAATCTAAAAATAGGAACACATTTGTAAACATTAGACTATATGCGGATAGGGATATTATAGGGTTAATTATAGGAAATGGTGTTAACGTTTGATTTCAATAAATTGTTAAAGTAGAGTCGGATGGACCTAAATGTGAGATGTGTGTTCCGAAAAACTTATGTCCATGTGAAGAATCCTCCCCTCCCGTTATTAAAAGAAAAGACTGATTAATATTTACTTGGGTTTAAAATAGAGTTGTTCTTTTATTTAAATTATTATTTTCAGAAAGATTTCTTTCTTGGAATTTAAAAAAGGACATTTTTCTTAATACAGATAAAATAAAGCCTAACCCAGGGTTTTATTTAGGCGAAAGCTTTTTTTCCTCCCCCCACCACTTTGATCTAAACACAGACTGCTCACCTGCAGCAGGTGGACCGATGAAGCCACCGATGCTCCTGAAAAGCATGAAGAGCCCCAGTCCGTTATCGAATCCCTCCAGGGTTACAATGTCCACGATGGAGGTGATGTGAATGGCCACCACGCAGCCGAACAGGAAGCCGTAGAGCGAGGCACAGACCAGGATGGCCCAGTAGTTGTGGCTGGTGGGCAGCAGCAGGAGCACTACCCCCAACAGAGTGACCACCATGGTGAGCAGCTGCAGATTCCTTACCAGCCTCATGTTGGCTATCCACCCACAGATCAGCCTCCCCACTAGGTCTGCTAAAGCCAGGACAGAGAGGATCAAGGCCGGCCAGTACTTATCCACCCCCAAACTGCTGACTAAGGGCACTAGAAAGAGAGGGGGGATGAAAAACCCTGCTGCCGCAAAGATGGCAAACAGGATGTAGAGGAAAAGTTCAGGTTTTCTCAGCAGGGAGCACTGGAAGATGAACTTCCTCTTTGGTACCAGCACAGTGGCATCGCCTTCTAGACCACCTTTGGTTTCCTGTATCGGGCTCTGGGCTGTCGCCAGGGGTCTCATGAGAGCGCCGCAGACACACAGGTTGAGCTGAAGGCCTCCGATAATGAGCAAGGTGCCCTGCCAGGTGTACATCTCAATCAGCCACAGGAAGAAGGGGCTGAACATGACAGCGAAGATGCACTCCCCTGAGCTGGCGATGGCGTAGGCGATGGGACGCCACCGTACAAAGTAGTGGCTCACCATGCTGTTGGCAGGGATCCACGACAAGGAGATGCCCAATCCTGGAAACAGAAGATGGAAACCTTTAACCTCCTACTATTTCTTTTGGAAGATTGGTGTCACCTTCAAACCACCCACCTAGCCACATATTCTGACATATGGGTATATTAAAAAAAGGGAAAAAAAGCCTAACCTGATGATCATTTTCTCATTTAATTGCTTAATTTCATCAAATAGCTTGATTACAGCTGAAAATTTACAAGATCATATATAGCCTCACATTTGAGACACTAGAACCGGCGAATTTTAAGCTTTTCACTTAACCAATTATCAATATATTTGCAGGTGAATTTTCTGATTTATTAGATTTATAAGATTAACTGACCATTTCAGCTCTAATATGCATGATAAGAGTGGCATCAGAACATACATGTGGTCCCATATTTATGAAATGATGAAGTGTTTCTCAAATATATTTTATGAAACTCTTGAAAGTCTTCATATTCTTTATTAAACCTCAGGAAGTAGTTATTTAGTCATGAAACTGACTGTTTATCACCGAGTGCAATAAATGTGGCTCCCAAGAAGCACATTTGTATGGCTACGTGTTCTCACATTCCTGCAGCCTACAATTTGCTAAATGCTGTTCATACTATTATAAGTGGCATATAAGGTTAAGGTTAAGAAATACCTTGTTCTACTGTGTGACGGCCAAGAATGGAAAGTTTCTGCGGGGTGGCTGGTTAAACCTACATGATTTCCTTGGCATCACTGCCTTTAAGCTCACTGTCCTGAACATCATCTACCCAAACCACACAGCCCGGTTGCTTTTTGCTCCTTTAGACCTTAAAGGCTTTAAATAATGGAAAGGGATATTGTATCAGAAGTCAGCAAAGACACTGACTAGGGTTTATCCTTTAACATCACTGATCATGGGATTTACCAGTCTAACAAAACTAACCGAACACAAAAGGTTTACATAAAAGTCAGTCCCATTAAATAGCTCATGACCCACTGAAGTTATCTTGAAACACCCTGCAGGTTTCCCGACCTAAAGGTTGGGAACCACTGCGGTTGAGGGTTAAAACACCAAGTGGACCAACAAGTGTCTCATTAGGTGGGAGATTTAATGTGGCATTCCTGAGACTGAAACTGTGGAAACAGTGAGTGAAAAGAGCAGCCATGCCTCCTGGGCTTTTAGAGTATGCCCTGAGTGAACAACCTTGCAGGATGCCCATGGTGAGGTAGAGCCAGGGCAGACTGAGGTCCAGAGATGCCAGCAACATCCCAGAGGCAGCCAGCAGGCCTCCGACTATGATGACCACTCTCTGAGAAAACTGTAAGGTGAGCACACTGGCCACTGGAGCTGAGGAGAAAATTAACACACTATAAAAACATCTTGGCTCAAATATCAACTAATAACCTCAAGCTGAAATCTCTTTACCTCCAAGGTGAAACATGGCAATCGTAGTGGAGGTGACCCACGAGGTGGTGCTGGCCGGGACTCCAAAGTGACTCTGGATGTCCAGGAAGAAGAGGCCGAAGTTCTTTAGGACGGCAGCAGTCAGGCCCATGACGAAAAAGGCTGACATGACCACCACCCAGCCATACCCCCCGTCAGGAGGTCCGGCAATCCTGGACTTCATCTTCACAGTCTACTCCGCAGGCTGCTCTCCTGCTTGTGCTGAATGGTTGACTTTCAATAAACTGATAAACCTCAAGAGCAGGAAGAGCTCATGAAAATGAGCATGCAAAAATGTACACAGGCACATGAACTGGCAGCTGTAAGAAACCGTGTGAAAAACATCAGTCCTCTTTGTTTGTTTTCAATTTTAGAATATGTTGAGTTGTCCATTTAAAAAATAAAAATTAAAAAAAAGAGAGCAGTGGTTAAAGGGGAATCATTTTATTTTAACAATACTTCGATCAGTAAGTGACAATGACACAATGCATGACTGTTTTCGTCATGGGTTCCATACACTTTGTTATAAAGCATTTAAAAAAGGTAAATATCCCATCTTATTCCGAAGAGTGTTTTATCCACAATTTGCCTTTGGTTTCAGATTACCGTACCACATGATCATGTTTAAAGATAAGATGCTTTCCACTGGCCTCGCTACAAAATTGAGCTTGCGTCGCAATTGGATGATTTCTTAAAAATTAAAGAGTAAACAAAACATTTTAGGTAATTTATTGGTGACAGATTTGTACTGCATTACGGATGTTATTTCTCTGTACAGAGCTTTCAGACGTACAACGGGGTCTCCTAATTACACAGCTGACAGAAACGTAGGATATCGTCCTAGATAACTCAAAGTTATAAACAAAAAGGTTATATCAATGTCAAGGTTACGCTCTGCTCTTCTCCCGGCGTCCTTAACATATTTTGCACACTTTACTTACTCCTTTAACACTGCGGGGAAGTCGCATCTGCGCCGTCGAGCTCAGTGCGCTCTTATTCTAAAATTTAAGGTCATACAAGGAAAACAAACATGCGACAGATAGGATGAATACTGGCGTTGTTATTCCGCCATTTTCTCCTCATTTATCAATGACGCGCCACCGCACATAACCATTAAGGCTCGTGTACACGGCTGCAAGCCATTACCTTCATTACTGAAACTGCCGTCCACCGGTTCACCGTCCATGTTTCATGGAGCCTCGCTCTGATGAAGCTGCAGCAGCCAATCAGCTGCGTGCGCAACATCCGGATTTCAAATTAAAGTGTCGAAGTTTATGTCATTATTGCATTGATTTTGCTTTACAAGACTCGTTCATGTGCATAAATTCTAGTGTATTTGGTTAAATAAAGCTTCTCAAGGGAAAATGAGTGAGTTATAAATTCTGTAGAGAGTTAAAGGCAAGTTCTGACTTTTTTTCTAAGCATATTTAAAGCTGGCTTGTTTTTCACAGCTTCAATCTGCAAAGCTGTGGAATACCATTTCCACCAGGAAAAAAATAATAACACAATAATATAATTATAAAGTAATATAACACAAAATGATATTAAGTGATAATTTATTCAATTTAATTCAAGACCTTTATTATTATTAACATTAAGTTAAATCAAAACACATAACTTAATGTTCCTTAGATATGACTAAGAAAGTCATTATTTTGACTTAGAAAATGAAAACTAGAACATAACTATAATAATTTTGTCTTATGTGCACATTTGCAGTTTGGACCATATACCATACACAGTGTAAATTTCTACCCAGAAAAGATCATCATCTGTAGTTTGTGAAGTTCCCTTTAATCCAGTTTGCTCTAGCATTAAAGCTTTCATGAGGGAAAAGGCACACTCCTCATTAACATTATTGGTATCTGAAATATACATACACATTACACTCCCCTTCTTGTGTCACAGATACATGTATTCTCTTTTACACCCTACGTTTCTAGTCTTAAACAGCACAATGAAACAGTCCATTATGCTTCAGATTTGAATGTTGAGAAACTTTAAGAAAATTTGTTTCCAATTATGTATAGTCCGTTATAATCCGTTTTTCCTGTTGTTTCCCTTTACATTTTCATTTCAAAACAGTATTTTGTTTTTTTAAAAGTCTTGGTGTCCTAGTTCACAATGTGCTGTTTCAATACAGCACAATCATTTGTATCGAGGAGCTTCAAAGCAATAGACCACAAGAATTTGCTTAACGGATATGCTGTTGAATTAAAATGTTATTTAATTTTCACACCACCTCTCACAATGAAAACACAACACAATAGCGAATTTTTAAATCACCTTTGTATGTACTTCATTTACACTGACTTCTTGCTGGTAGTTCAAATATAGTATATACTATATTTTCATTATTATAAAATTATAAAATTTTTCTGGACATATGTACACAAATATACTGTAGATATATACACACACACACACACACACACACACACACACACACACACACACACACACACACACACACACACAGAAAACACTAAGCTCCGAGTCCATTTCTCTTCAGGTGAGGGGAAAATGGGATGGAGGGAGCTAGCCCTGCTAGCTGTTTGTATGGACACAACACACTCTCTCTCTCTCACAATCACACACACAACTTGTTTGACACAAGCATCTCTAGCTTTGGGCCTGGCAATAGTTTACTCACAGTCTCCCATAAATGCTTTTTTCAAAACTTTATCCAGGATGTTTGATCAAACAGGTGTGCTCTTTTTCAGCGACATGCATCCTTCAACAGTTCCTTGCATCCAAGCCTCCACTTCCATTCTGCTGCTAATCACTAAGCCGCTCCACCACAGAAATAAGGGTTGACTGCCTTGCTTAAAGGCACCTTGGCAGTAGTTTTTGAGCTGGTCCTAGTTTCGAACCATCACTTTTCTAGTCACAATCGGCTTTGCCACACAGTGGCACTGAGCAGGAGGAGAACCTCGGTCTGGCCTTTGTCCCTTTCCCACAAAACAGGGCAACAATGATAAGAAGAGGTTGAAGAGGAGCAGGGCACTTTGGGTGATTCTTCCGTTTAAAACTCTTTGCTGTCCCTGAACAGGTCGATGCGCAGAGCGAGCTCCTTGAAAGAAGGACGCAAGCCGGGGTCGTTGTCCCAGCACTCCTCCATGATCTCGTGTATCTGAGAGAAAAGAGCAGGAAGAACGATGATTATTTGTGGCTGAATTCCTGATACAAGCAAAGAATAAATTACAGGTTAGTCACTCCTGATGCATTTTTTTCCTTTAGTCTGATGGTCGTGTATGAAGGAATGACATGGAATAAAGGTTCACTGGACAGGAGTCACTCCGCGGATATTGGGGTTACATGGTGCCTAAAACATTCGCCCACCAGGGGCGCTCCAATGACAGGTAGCAATTTCAAATGGCCTCCTCATTTATTTGAATACGGAGCTGCGAGGCAGGGTTATCCAGTGCAAAGCGCTCGGTCCCAAAAACAATGAACAAAGCCCAAACCAAATGCACGGACGTCCGGCAAAAAAGGTGAACTTGGTTTTCGAAAGCAAATCTGCAACTCCCGTCGCTGGTTAGGCTAATAAATTTAAATTAAAACAACTAAACAAACACATGAATACAGAACAGATAAAACAGATTATGTGCATATGCACGTGTCCATATACTGTATGCATTGACATACATGTGCAGGAGTGTGTTTGTATGAGCACAAGTGTATATGTGCACAGTAAGCAAGTGTGCATGTGCGTGACAAGTTGTGATCTTAACAGAAAGAAAACAGCAGTACATGTTCCTACCTCGGTGGGACACCCCAGAGGTTGAGGCAGCCTGCTGCCTGATTTGAGGAGCTCAATGAGGTGATAGACGATCAGCTGTCCCTGCTTGTCGTTTCCCATCATGGACATAAAAACCTGAGGTGGTGATAGCCGAGACAAAGACAGATTTGAAAATGTATTTGATTCATGGAAAACAGCAAGAATCCTTACAGATAATATAAATGGCTCCAAATTCAAACAGGTAAAAGTACAGCACTTGGTGTGCAAACAACTTTAGCAATACATTTGTTATGATTGAGACAAACACAAAGCTAAAAATGTGGCTGAGCAGAGAAATGTTGTTTAAAAAAAATCTACAGAGACAGGCTCTCATTTTCCCACGTGTAGTGTGGAAATTTACATTTAAGGTTTCAGCAAAATGTAATTATGTGAGTTATTATTCTATAACAAATGTATTTTTCATCCATAAAGTTTTAACTGAGCTCTGCCTCTACATCAGTAACAACTTTATGTCAATTGACTGTCTGGAGCGTTGCTAGTGTTTGGAAGGAAGAGGAGTGTGATGCAACTCAGTGTTTTTCCACCGGTGTTTTTGAGAGCGTGTCAGACTAACTGCTTGGTGAGCGTTATATGACGTGAAGGGATGTGAGGTCACAGGGATGAAAGGGAAACAGCTTGACTACAAACGAGCTGTTTTCAGACAGTTTACAGTAGGGCTGCAGCTAACGATGATTTTAGTACTCGAAGCTTCTATAGATTATTTCAACGATTCATCGATGTGTCGTTCAGACTACACAACTTGCCGTCTTGTGACGGGAGTCTTGAAGTCGTTGTGGCGTTCACACTACGTGACTGATCGGTGACAGGGGGTCACACACACTACAGGAGCTGATAGCGGCTGTGTCACCCTACGCTGGTCTCCAAACCACTACACACAAAACAGCTGTTTGTTATTATAAAGATAGCAATTATAAAGACAAAGACTCTGGGTGAAAGGATGGATTAGTACACGCAGGTAGCAGGGATTGTCTGAGCTACAGAGAGAGCTGGAGGTGAGTAAAAAGGTGCAGCTCCCCGACACCCAGTTAACTCGTGTGTGTGGTTACAACTCACGGCCCAAAAAGGAGAACAACAAACACTCGTGTGTACATTTTCATCTGAGGATTGCAGCTTACTTTGGCTAACCTAGAGTGATTTTCTTACTGTCTGTTAGTCCAGAAAGCAGTTAAAGTAAAGGGTGTGCGAGTGTCACTTACTGCAGGAGGGCTGCTGTTTTTGTCGCTGTGGGTGAAGAGCTCATAGAGCACCACTCCAAAGCTCCAGACATCTGACGCCACAGAGAACTTGCTCTCAGTCAACGACTCCGGGGCATACCTACAAAATAACACACTGTGACACTGCCTGTTGCTGTCTGCTCTGCTTCCCTTAAGAAGGTAGTGAGCATCACAGTTTTGAAAAATTATTTCAAAATTATTTTAAATAAAACAATGCTACAAGAACTCCTCACTGGGATTAATATTCACAGATGATGTTTTAAGGCTGCATCACAAAAGGTATAACACAGCATTAAAAGAAGGGTGAAGACTTCTGCTACAGCGAGAACAAAAATATCAAAAACAAAAAAAACAAAACAAGTGCGGAGTCTCACCAGAATATGGGACTCTCTCCTGGCTCTTTCACCATGTAGTACTCTTTATCCTGAGGCAGAACTTTGGTGAGGCCGAAATCTCCGATCTTCACCCTCAGCTCAGTCTCCACAAGGATGTTTCGCGTTGCGAGGTCTCTGTGGATATACCGCTTGCTTGCTAGGTACTCCATACCCTGCGAACACACAGACAACTTAACGTTTTGCATCTGCAGCTCCACAAACCAAGTGACAACACAGATAATAATAATAATAATAATCCTTATTTGTAGAGCACTTTTCAAAAATAAGTTACAAAGTGCTTTAACAAGTGTAAAGAATAATACAAAAAACAAGATAAGAGCATGAAAAATTTATATAAAATTAGTAAAATACAATAAAATAAAAGGGATAAAATAAAGTCAAATAGGATCGGGAAAGGCTCTCCTATAAAAGTACGTTTTAAGAAGGGACTTAAAAGAGTTCACTGACTCTGTCCCCTTTAGTTTTCAGTCGAGACTCTGGAACAGACAACAGACCTCTGCCCGAGGATCTCAAGGTACGTGCTGGTGCGTATGGGACTAAAAGGTCAGAAATATAACAAGGCGAGAGGCCATGAAGAGCTTTAAAAGTAATCAATAGAATTTTAAAGTCAATTCTAAAACATACTGGGAGCCAGAGTAATGAAGCTAAAATAGGAGTAATGTGGTCATATTTCTTTGTTCTGGTTAAAAGCCTGGCA